CTTTGCCTGTTGCGCATTACTGCGGATTCAGTGCCTTTAGTACATACTACACACGTTGTATGCACTGTGGCCAACCAGTGGACTGCAGTGCACTGGTTGACCACGTTGCCCGTGCCTTGCTCACCGCCGTGGATTTAGCTAGAACGTTAAATGACCCGCCAAAGCGGTAAGCGTCAGTACTTCCGCCCGAAGTATAAGATAATTCATAGAATATAACCCCTCAAATCAAATAAAAATATGATGTTGAAGGATGCAATCAGCTAAATAGCACACGTCCGTTCCAACTAAGCTCTTACTTTATCTCTGGGCTGTTCTCCTGCACTCCGGCACATCCGAGCCACTCTGCCAGGGCACCAGGCGGGGTCGGCAGCACCATCCCTGTGCCGACCTGTCCTCCCCAGTGTCACCACCGTCACCGCGCGGGACACGACACTGCTCCGCCGGGCGACACGGGTACGCTTCTGCCGCCGCACCGGCCGTCTGGCCATGGACGACGACGTCCCCACTGCTGTCCTCCCCACCAGCTCCCGCCCTGATTGGTTCATCAATATTTAATCAATCTCGGCCCGCTGAATTGCGGCCATTTATACAAGTTTGGAAAGAACTCAATGGCCTCCAATAGATGCTGTTGAAGCGGATTTATTGGCCGCCTGTGGCTCAGCAGCACTTTAGCTCGCTGCCCTCGTCTTTTATGGACGCGCGTCGGGCATAACTGATCTTGTAAATCAAATTGTTGCGTAGTAGGGGCTGCAAGCAATTTGGCCGGCAAGGTCAAAATTCATAAAATAGGGATGTGTAAAGTTAACTTCACACCACAATAATCTAGCAGCCATCGTACTTCCATAATGATTCAACAATTGAATATTTAAATGGCATCCTCCTCCAAAATAATATGCTGAGGCACAACAATGTCCTTTCAGACACTAGCAACCTTGATGACCTTTCTGTTTACATCCTCGTTCCGGCCTGGTGTGGCTGATTTGATCCGCTCCTGATTCCCAGCGGTGCCCCTGCTGAGTCCAATCAGGACCGAGGTCGTCACGGCGACAACAAAGCAGGAGGCTCATCACGCCCACAGCGTCACGGGCGCCGCGTCACGGCGTCTGTGACGGCGGCGGCGTGACGCCGAACGGCACGAGACGGCGCGCTCACGGCAGGTCTGCTCTGTCTGGGGCGCTAGTCACTTCCGTCAGCCCGTCTGGGGCGCCAGAGCACGGCTTTGATCGGCGCCGAGCGAGCACTTAGCCAGGCGTCCGGGTGCCGCCGTGGAGAGTGGGGGCACGCGACGACCGGGCCGCTCTCACCTCGTCAGACGGACAGTGGGGCCAGCGACAGGCGGAACGGCCGAACGGACGGACAGGTGGAGAGGAAGACGAAACAGGCTACAGAGGCATATCAGACACCGAGGGGTGCGATATACAGGTGTGGCGAACGCGGCAAGACAACCAAGCAGAGGGAAAGCCAGACATGACGAAAATAGATACAGTGATTAGCAGGCGAGATCCAGGGAAAACAAAGACAGAGTGAAAGGAGTGAAGACAGTCACAAAGAGCCGCCATCCCACGGCTGGTCATCTACTATCCAACAATGGTAAGGAGAAGTGCAATGGGGCGCAGGGTTTGGGCTATAGACTCTGTTCTCAATATTTTTTTTTCGTTTGTGTTAAAATATTTAGCATGGATTATGCATGACGCATGCATAATACAACATTCCTATTATTAATCAATTTATCAATTTATAGCTTATTATCCATTTGGCGTTTCTAAGAGAAAGGTACCTACCTACCTGCAAACTCTTCGGCCTATGCCACCATCGCCACCACCATTCGTATACGTTATCCATAGATTATATAGCTGTGCCAGGAGCGAGCGTTACTTCATTTCATTGTTCCGGTGATTAAAATGATTTATATTTGCTCACTGGAACCTCCCCATTGCAGCACCTGACTCAGCTGAAACGCCTGGAGGTTCGAGGTGGTCCCTCGTTCGCCTGCGCCTGGGAGCCGCGCGCCGAGCAAACGCGACGGGAAGCCCAGGCGCCGGCCAAGGCCCGCCTCCTACCGGCTCCAGCTCGACTAGCAGGTATATCTGTCACACTCCGGCCCAAAGGAGGCTCAAGCTTCAGTCAAGGCCCGTCTCCTCTCGGCCCCAGCCAAGCTTTTGTCTTTGGTAGTCGAGGCATGGTAGATATCAGACTGTTATAAACACAGTGATTTTGACAACAATAATTCATACCAACGCCTAAAAAGCTGGATAATATCTAGGAGTGTTAAACCTTTAGCTGGCAATGCCACAAGCACGCACATAAGAAAATACCAGCCTGTTGATCAGGCAGAAGGGATTGCCGCCATATTTTATGAAAGTCTAGCCTGGGCTCCTCGTTGATCGACTAGCCACTATGTTGACTTAGCAATAATGGAAACCCATGTCCTGACTGATACCCATCGTCGTTACAAAATATCCCCATACAACTCCAGACAATCGATCACTCAAACATCGAAATGGTCTCAGTCGGAGTTCCGGGTTGTGCTGTCCTCTGCTTGGGGAGTAGGCCGCTGCGGCAGCCAGCCACAGTGCCAGGCACGGCCGCACGCGGGACGCGCCGCAGACTCGACCTCCCTGTGACCGGCGCGGCGGGCGCTGAATGGGCCCGATCGCCGCCGGTCACCGAACGACCGGCGGACACGCCAGGAGGCACAGAGCCGCGGCGGAGAGCTCAGAGGGGCGCCGGACAGAGCAGGGGCCGTCCCGGTACGGGTCGGTACCGAGCGTCAACAGGACAATACGGGCCCGCCCCCCGCCCCCCGCCCGCGCCCGCGCCCCACTGCCGGGGGCGGCTGCGTGACCTGAGACTGCAGAGGTTGCTAAGGCCATTATAAATCCGATACGGGTGCCTGCTTGCTGGACAAAGGTACATATCTGCAGAGGATATGAATGCTGCTCTTTTATCTCTCTTTTTTACATCGCCGCCCTCCCTCTATCCCAGCAACACACAGAACCTTACGTGAACACCAGTGAACTTGATATTAGTCGCGGTACTCCCAGCTAAGAGTAAGGAAAAACCAAAGAGGGCAAATGTATGTGGAACAAGCATGCTGTTAGTATAATAGCATTAGAGAAGCAAAGTAGTCACAACTGCAGTTAGTGACTGCCCTCCTACACACTGGGAACGCCCACGCTGATAAACACTCGTACAGGAGAATGTTAGTGGGAGGAACGTATCTGAGCATGGGAGCAGTCAAAACCAGTCACAACCAAATCATTCTTTCCAACGCTTCTTAAAATTGCTTTTGAAGCCTATCTTTTAAGCAATAGTTGATATGTTAGGTACATGTACTGAGGTTTGCATTTTTAGCATTTCGAGCCTTTAACCTTTGAAATTACTGCAGTGCTTGCTGAGAAATATTTCATCCATGCTGCTCTAACGCTGCATTAGTGCCTAAGCATAAAAACAATGCAGGTTAGGCATACCTATATTGAGCATGATAAAACCACTGCATCCAATTCCATTGAGTACTGGAATCGGTGCCAGGTTCGACAGGTTTATCGCGCAAGTCGCACCTTGTCGCAGTAGGAGCATTGCTTATAGATGCTGCAATGCTGAACAGAAGATGACATATTCCTATTGATAATTTATGTCTCTAAGTATGCAAACTTACTTTACTTCGGCGACTTCATCAATTTCCGTTCTTTTCATCTCGGAGTCGACTGGTGGTCGTGTGTCTAAATTAGACTGGAGGTTGTGACTTCTTGCTGACATCTTTAGCTAATGTGTTTGCGCAAGTTTGAAAAAAATAACTATAAAATTTAATAAATCGTTTTTTACTTTATAATTTTGATCCAATTGTAATTTTATTTAGCTATTTCAAACACTGTAATTTATCCCTTTTTACTTTTCAATTTTGCACTTAACTGATGAATGCCGAAGCAATAACAAATCAAATCATTTTGGACAGAACAGTGTGCTGTTTTGCAATAAGATCATCGTTTAGGGAGAAAGCAAGTGAAAACATTTGCAAGAGAGCACCATAAAACATCGCTTGGTGTGGTTTTGTTTCGACAGAGATACTGCCTGGATTTTTATTGTCGTTCCAGGCGCGAACAAATGGCTGGAACAGTTAGCAATGGTCTCTATTTTGTTGCATGCGTTAGGGCTTCTCTGATGATTCATTTTAATATTCAGCTGTCGTTATGTATAATTCCCGAGCTACAAATGTACAAAACGTACATAGACAAGAAGTGGCCATCTACACTCATGTAGTCTCACACAACCGCAGTCCCCTTCTACACGGAACTGTCACTTCTGTCATTCTTAAGTTTTGTCACTCTCTGTCACTAACCCCTCGCCCGAGGCCGACCGATTGGTCAAGGTCAGGTGTAGGACTTTGCCCCTTGGGAGGTAGACTGACCCGCTGTTGCTAGGCGGCGCGACAGCCGCCGACCGGTCGGCTCAGGACCCCAACGGTAAGCTCAGCCCTTCTGTGCATACGTAACCCATGATAGCCATGATAGCTCTAGAACACACAATGACACGTTGCTTCTGAGAATTCGGTTTTCCTACGGATAATGCATCTTTTTTATTTCTGTTCGAAATTCAAAGGAAAAAAACATTTTTATCAGTCTAGAGCAGAAAACAAAAACTTCTGAGCCTGCCAAACATTTTTATCCTCTTTTTTACATCAAGATCATGTCTTCATGTCTTTAGCTGCTCTGGTTTTGCTTAAAATTATATTTTCTTTTTGTATCAATCAACCAAATATTTTAATAACTTTAATCGTTTTAATTGCTCCTCGAATCTGCTTAGACTGGATCAATTAGAAAGTAAAGACCCCAATACACCGTTTTCGACATGTATCATGATGCTCCTGCTTGAAAGAACCATTAAAGTATATTCCTTAGCCGTGATGGCCGTGTTATACAGGGATTTATGTCATTATTTTCACGGAGGTGCGCCTGAAAGTCGACTTGCATATAAATCAGGCATTTTTCGAGGCGCTCTTTGGATTTCTTTGAGAACTATTGATGCGATTGATGCACGGCCCTGCAACTCCATGCAAAGTCTATGATTGAGCACTAAACTATTGAGCGTGATATTATCTTATTGCCGATTTAATGATATATCGAACCACATAATTTTGCCTCCCATCGAGCACTCGAAGTGGTTCTATTGTTTCATATCAAGCATTGATCTTTCGGAGCAACACGCATTTTTGACTTAGTTTATTGATTATTGCTGACCAAACAAGTGGCGTAGTGCGTAGGCACCCATTGGAGACAGCCCAGCTGGTTGCCATAGTTTGAGTGATCAATACGGTGTCGGGCGAAAGTCACCGAGGCTTCGGGCTGACACAGTGATAGTGCAAACGAACGTATTTCCTTATCCATTTCGCTGGTTTTGAAGTAGAGATAAAGCAATGGCTCGTCACTGTACAACAGCAACGCTTGCCAAGCAACTTCCTAAACAGGAAGTCGGTCAACAGCTCAGTGAATGGAGGAAACGGCTCCAACTTTTGGGTAAGTACCTTTAGATCTGGCGTTGCAATACTGAGCGACGCTACATCGAACGATAGTCACAATAATATAAAAAAAACTTCAGGTGCTTTTTATGTCACAAGACGTGAGATGATGACAATGTCGGATTCACGCTTTACAGCTTCTATAGTAATTTCAATCTTGCATCATGTGCACAAGATTGTATTGAGTAAATCAACCCAACTCAAGCATACTTTTGATCGCGATCTGCGAGACCCTTGTGACATCCGTGCGCAATCATTTTCAACAACAACACATTATTTGTTATTCTGTTAGCGCACCATGTGATGTCGGCAATAGCTCCGTCCATTCCAAAATGTTATCGGTTGTTGAGGTTATCAATTGGTCATCTAAGCGTGGGTGTCAATAAATGTAAACTGCATGTAAAAAGGGGCAGGACGCCCATCATCCCCTGACGCATCGGGACACCTCTTTTTTCTAGAGGGTGAGAAGAAAGCCAACTATGAAGAGGGCGAAGAAGAAAAGAAGAGGAATATTGCTTTGATCCAATCATTGAAGAAAGATATACGAATTATGAAGGAAAAGGCAGAGCGGTCTGGAAAGGCAAGTGACATTCGTTGTTGGTTGTGATTGTCATACGCTAAAGTTTTATCATGCATATTGCATAGGCAGTTTGATGCATATAGTCATAGGCACAGTGCTTAGAAAGTCAGAGTGCTTGCTCGTGGGCTCTGAGTTAAAATCATCAAGGCTCAAAAATCTCAGGTGCACTAACCGATGCTGATAGAGGAGCACTGAACAGGCAGTTACCTTCAGATAGTTTGTTTGTTCAGCCAGCACAGCCCTAAGTGTCATGTCAGTACCTATATGGTGTCGGCAGAACGAGCTGCTGATGCGGGACGCCCTGGAAGGCATGGCCACCGCCAGCGTAGCCCACCAGCACGTGGAGCCCGTCTCCAAGCTGGACAGCAAGAACGACCGGCTGGGCGACCTCACCAATAAGCTGAACAAGCTGCGCTCCGTGACCGCCAAGGTGGGATGGGGTGCCGGGTGAGCCGGTCGACCCATGCGCTGAGACAATGGGGCTGACAGAGAAAAAATGATCAGCGGAAATGCTTTTAAAACGATTTCTTATGAAGAGGTCTCTCGATTATCCCCTGGTGACTACGATAAGCTGTGCCTTGCCTTGCTACTTGTTAAGCAAGGATTGTCGGACTTAATATTCCATGGCAGGACACTATTCGTATTTCATTCATGACCTTAAGTTGACCTTTAGTAAGCGTACCGCAATACTGATTGCAATATAACCAGTATAACGCCTTTTGGGGCGACTAACGGAGCGAGCGAGAGGGTGAGCCTTGCACGTGCGAAATTTCGAGGGGTACCTCCAACTGACTTGTGCACGGCACCCTACTAACCGGTCTCTAGCGATGTGCCAAATTTGAGCACAATCGGCCCAGCCGTTCTCGAGATCTGGAAGCGGCACCCTGCACGTGCGCACGTGCAAAATGGGTCCCAACTGACTTGTGCACGGCACCCTACTAACTGCTCCGTAACCGTGTACCAAATTTGAGCGCAATCGGTCCAGCCGTTCTCGAGATCTGGAAACGACCCCTGCATGTGCGCACGTGCAGCAGCACCCCAACTCTGGCACATGGATATGCATTGCCTAGTGGGTGCCTACCTACATGCCAACTCTCAGCGCAATCGGCCCAGTAGTTACCGAGATATTGCAACAATTGCAAAAGTGACACCTCTTCGTTTTGCACGTGGCACGTGCATAAGGGGTCACCCACATGCATCGGGAATAGTGCAATACTTGGTAGAAGGAATGAAGCTACCCTACAAAAATTACCGCATGTAAATCGGTCAAGTGGTTGCTGAGATATAAGCCTCGCAAAAGCGTGACCACGGCCGGCCGGCCGGCCGGCCGCTCATACTCAGAAATTTCCGTTAATCTAAGGAAAGACTACGCTCGCTTCGCTCGCTCCGTAATGACTTTTTTGGTAATAGCAAAACCAGTATAACGCCTTTTGGGGCGACTAACGGAGCGAGCGAGAGGGTGGGCCTTGCACGTGCGAAATTGCGAGGGGGTACCTCCAACTGACTTGTGCACGGCACCCTACTAACTGGTCTCTAGCGATGTGCCAAATTTGGGCACAATCGGCCCAGCCGTTCTCGAGATCTGGAAGCGGCACCCTGCACGTGCGCACGTGCAAAATGGGTCCCAACTGACTTGTGCACGGCACCCTACTAACCGGTCCCTAACCGTGTACTAAATTTGAGCGCAATCGGTCCAGCCGTTCTCGAGATCTGGAAACGACCCCTGCACGTGCGCACGTGCAGCAGCACCCCAACTCTGGCACATGGATATGCATTGCCTAGTGGGTGCCTACCTACATGCCAACTCTCAGCGCAATCGGCCCAGTAGTTACCGAGATATTGCAACAATTGCAAAAGTGACACCTCTTCGTTTTGCACGTGGCACGTGCATAAGGGGTCACCCACATGCATCGGGAATAGTGCAATACTTGGTAGAAGGAATGAAGCTACCCTACAAAAATTACCGCATGTAAATCGGTCAAGTGGTTGCTGAGATATAAGCCTCGCAAAAGCGTGACCACGGCCGGCCGGCCGGCCGGCCGCTCATACTCAGAAATTTCCGTTAATCTAAGGAAAGACTACGCTCGCTTCGCTCGCTCCGTAATGACTTTTTTGGTAATAGCAAAACCAGTATAACGCCTTTTGGGGCGACTAACGGAGCGAGCGAGAGGGTGGGCCTTGCACGTGCGAAATTGCGAGGGGGTACCTCCAACTGACTTGTGCACGGCACCCTACTAACTGGTCTCTAGCGATGTGCCAAATTTGGGCACAATCGGCCCAGCCGTTCTCGAGATCTGGAAGCGGCACCCTGCACGTGCGCACGTGCAAAATGGGTCCCAACTGACTTGTGCACGGCACCCTACTAACCGGTCCCTAACCGTGTACTAAATTTGAGCGCAATCGGTCCAGCCGTTCTCGAGATCTGGAAACGACCCCTGCACGTGCGCACGTGCAGCAGCACCCCAACTCTGGCACATGTATATGCAGTGCCTAGTGGGTGCCTACCTACATGCCAACTTTCAGCGCAATCGGCCAAGTAGTTACCGAGATATTGCAACAATTACAAAAGTGACACCTCTTCGTTTTGCACGTGGCACGTGCATAAGGGGTCACCCACATGCATCGGGAATAGTCCAATACTTGGTAGAAGGAATGAAGCTACCCTACAAAAATTACCGCGTGTAAATCGGTCAAGTGGTTGCTGAGATATAAGCCTCGCAAAAGCGTGACCACGGCCGGCCGGCCGCTCATACTCAGAAATTTCCGTTAATCTAAGGAAAGACTACGCTCGCTTCGCTCGCTCCGTAATAAAGTCCATGTCATGAACAGAGCCAAAAACTCATGTTTTTTCTGCAGAAGAGGCAGAAACTGGCCTCCATCATGGCGACATTTGAGGACGCCGTTGTAGACAACATCGTCTATGAGGAGAACCGTCAGCCAGACGAAGTGGTAAGCCCTGTCTCGAAATAAAGTCGAGATTCCCTAGCTTTCATGTCCGTTTGTTTCGTATTTCCCCTGTCTAGCCATTCGTTTTATCGCAATGAAACTTTTCAAAAACCGTCTTACAGTTTGGAGGAAATTCAGGTTAAAGCGATCAATAATGCATAACCGCTTAGATAATCATTGCAGGTCAATAGAATACTCCTTCCGACTTCAATGTTAGCCATTTTATGTCAAGTTCAATCTAAAAATCGTGTCCCAGTGTGCATAGCTTTCGGGACATCCCAAACATCAATGCCATTGGCGTTCACCTTTCCGTGCAGCACGTTCGGGACCTCAACAACCGCCTGGACTGCATGTCCAAGAAGCTCCTGGAGGCGCAGATGGTTCGGGACAAGTACCGCGGCGTGGTAAGCTCTCTGCGCGCCGAGCAGATGACCTACGCCAGCCGGCTGCAGCTGATGCAGCGCCGGCTGGGGGAGGCGGCCGGCGCGCGCTCTGCCGTCACCAGGGCCGAACAGTACGCCGCCTCTGTGCGAGAGACGGCCCAGTCTCAGCTGTCACAGAGCCAGCAGCTCTCCAGCGAGTGGAGGCAGGAGCGAGACTCCAAACTCAACGAGTACAAGTGAGTGGGCGCTGAGCAAGGAGGAAGGAAGGGGCAGCTGAGGCTGAGTTAAATATCATCAACCAGTTTCGGGGACAAGATTTATTGGCTATGTTTTCATTGTGGTCAATAGGATATTTTGCCATGTTATCGATTTCGCCATATTTTTACCATAACTTCGATGGCACACTCCCATCAAGTCACTGACCTCTCACCCTCACTCCTCAAATGACGCACCTCTCACCTCGTTCCCCTCCCCACCCCGCCTCCCCGTTCCTCCTCCCAGACGTCAGGCGGAGAAGCAGCGCTCCGAGTACCTACACCTGCGTCGGCAGCTGTACCTGGGCGGTACTGAGCACCCCCTGCAGTCAGAGGCGTCCAGCGGCGGCGTCAAGCTGGCTCCCAACGTCAGCCAGCTGGTGTCCGACCAGCTGCACGGCCTCTACGAGCAGGCCAAACAGATGATGGTGAGCTGATGCGGCATGATCGTGGGGAAGGGTGGCTGGTTACGAGAGAAGCTGTTGGTCTTGGTTTCCGAGAAGTGTTACCATGATGTGTAAGGGAGATATAGTAACGTATACGAGAGCGAGCAAAAGTATATTTTTTAATCCCGACCAAAACAGACACATCAATTTTCTAACGAAAAGACTCGTGCACATTAGCACGTGCTAATTGGTGTTTAGCACCCCTACAGCCCCCCTCCAAGTCGGACAGTCACACCGACTTCACGAGCACATTACTTCTGTAAGTCTAGTTTCAGGTGACGCCGATTACGGATCGTCACGCGGCCAGTGCCCTGCATCTTGACCAAGTACTTTCGGAACGGAGACTTTTCTACGATGACACCTCGGCGGTCCCAGGCTTTGGTTCTGGCGTCCTGACAGAGGACGCTGTCGCCGACCGACATTTCGGAGAGGTCCTTGGTGCCGACGTCATAAGCGGCCTTGCTTTTCTCGCCGCGGGTGACCATGGAGAGCTCCCGTCGGCGGAGATCCCGGCACCACTCGGGGCTCAGCTTGTACCGCTGTGACGGTGACGGGATGCTGTCGCGGAGGTGCCTGCCCAGCGCCAGCTGTGCCGGGGACCGACCGCCGTCTCGTAGCGGCGTATTTCTGTACATCAGCAGCGCCTGTGCTGCCTCATCCGTGTTGAGATGACCTCCTCTTCCTGTGTGTTCGCGTATGATGCGCTTGGCTGTCTTAACGGCGGCCTCAGCTCGGCCGTTCGACTGAGGGTAGTGGGCTGACGAGAGGCGCCAACGGACGCCCCACCTGCGCAGGAACAGCTGGAAGGGCCGCCCTGACAGGTTGGGTCCGCCATCAGACGACAGCTCTTGAGGTGCGCCCCATCTGTGGAACAGCTGGCGGAATACTCCGCAGAGCGCTTCTGACGTCACAGCTGAGCGAAAATGGTGAACTTCCAGCCAGCCTGTCAGCCGGTCAGCGTAGCTCAGGTACATGTTTCCGTTGAGCTCAAACATGTCGGCGACCACTTGCTGGAACGGGTAGTCTGGGGCTGGGGAGGGAAGCAGTGGTTCTCTTTGCTGAGACGGCGCGTGGCGACGGCACTGCTCACAGTGCCGGGCATGGTCTTGGACGTCATGTTCCATGCCGGGCCAGTAAACAACCTGTCTAGCTCGTGCCAGCATGGAAGATGAGCCTTGATGCGCAGAGTGCAGGTTTTTGATGATCTGACGGCGGAGGTTCCTGGGAATAACCAGTCTCAGGTCCTTTTCGTCTACGCCGTACATCAAAAGGTCGTCGGCTATGCACAGACAGTCTCGGACATTGTAGAAGTCTCGCACTAGTGGGTCTTCTTGGGCCCGAGTATTGGCGAAATTGTCTGACGATACCTTCTGAGACAGCAGCTGATACTGCTCGTCAGACTGCGCAGCGTCTTTGACGTGTTGGGGATCCATGGCTATGACGTCTTCTGAGGTGGCCGTTAATGCTGCCACAATGGCGCCCAGGGCCTCCAGATCCTCACTAACATCCGTGTCATCCTTGTCTGGTTCTAGAGCGCCGACTGGGTACCTCGAGAGCGTGTCTGCGGCCAGCTTCTGCTTCCCAGGCAAGTGCTTGATCCGGTAGTCGAACAGCAGCGTCTTCTCCTTGAGACGAAGCAGCCTTGGGTTTGATATGTCACCGAGGGCTCTGTTGCCAAGGATTTTCACCAGCGGCCGGTGGTCCACGAGAAGAAGGAAGCCCGGATTACCGAGGAGGAACAGCCTGGCCTTCTTGAAGCACCACGCCACGGCCAGTGCCTCGCCTTCCACCGCTGAGCAGGGTTGTATACGACTCAATCAATAGCAATCAATTCAATCACGACAAATTTGGGAAACCAATCAACTCAATCAAGTCAGAGCAGTTTTCGGGCATTGATTCAATCGACTCAAACGCGACAATGAAAGGAATCAATCAACTCAATCAAACGACTCAAACCAAGACATACATTAGGTTTTTTGCCCCACCAACTTGGAAAAGTGTCCATAGCAGTCTGGTGTACCTACCTACCTACCTACCTACAGAAGAAACATAAAAATATTGTCATTTAAAATTATAAGTATGCTAAGCTTTTATAAATCCTTATTCTACGTCTTTTGATATTTTGGTTAGTTGACGTCATTGATTATCATGTAGTAGGTATGGTAGATCATCATAAAATAAATCGGTTGTACAACACCAATTTCGTTTTAATTATTATTTCATTTGAAATAAAACCACTTGATCATATTTGGTAAAATATTTTAAGGAAAATGAAATATATTAAATATGTTATGCATTGCTTAGGCTCTCAGGAGAAAAGGATCAACAAACGTTCAGCTGCAAATTAAACAATGCAGCAAATTAGCTATTAATTAGGTACGTAAACGTAATTAGCGAGACGAAAACGGTGCTTATGTTTCAGTTATTTTTTGTAGGGGTTTCAGATATTTATAGAGTTCAGTGGGTTGTTTCTGTGGAGATGTGGAGATGTGAATTAATAATTAATCACACTTTATTAGTATATAGGGCCTTGCACTTTATAAACTGGATAAAAAAACGTTTCCTGCTGAGTGCTGAAAGGTAGGTAGGTGCATCGCCAGGTTCTATCACCAGGATTGGAGCAGTTATTGCAGTTGAAAGTCAAAGTTGGCTGTTCATGTTTAGGCCCTGTTCTTTATTTGGCCATCTACCCCATATTGCAGTTGTGATGACAAGCAGTTTTCAGTGTAGTTTTGTGATCTTTAATATCATCAATTGGTGGCATTATTTTTCGTCAACTAAAACTTATTTGAACTTTCCATTCAATCGACTCAATCATACGAGTCACTCTAATTTTCGGGAATCAAATCAGTCAACCAGTCGCTAAAGTCAAACGAGTCAGTCAACCAGTCATCTCGAAAAGTCAATCGACTCAATCCAATCAACTCAAAATACGCGTTGAAACAAATCAATCAATTCAATCGACTTGATTGGTATACAACCCTGCCGCTGAGTAGTTTGATTCCGCCGAAGACAGATGGCGGCTACCACAGAGGGCCAGCTTCCAGCCCCCTGTACAGCAGAACGGCGCTTGATCTTTGGCACAGCTGCAGTGCTGCTGGAGGATCACGAAACCAATTCCATTTCTGGACCAGTCGGTCACCACGGCGGTTGGCCGGGACCGGTCGAAGTAGGCGAGTCCATTTGCCGCCATACTGGATATGGCTTCTTTGGTTTTGTTCAAGATCGTCTGGAGATTCTGATCCCAGTAGACTTTCTTGGAAGCTCCAGGCTTCAGAAGATCTCTGAATGGTTCCATCAGGGGTGAGACGGCCATGAACGGCGCGAGCTGGTTCACCAGCCCAAACCAGGATCTGATGTCTGTGATGGATGGCTGCTCCGGCATAGGGAAGTTCTTTATGGCTGACAGCTTGTCGCCTGTTGGCTTGTAGTCTTCCCATCCTAGGAAATAGTCGACGAACTCGACATCACGACGACAGAACTTGAACTTGTCGGGGTTCAATGTCACGCCGTTTCTGCCACACAGCGTGAGGTAGTCGAATGTGTGGAAGAACGCTTGTTTGATATCTGCATCGTACAGCAGAGTGTCGTCGATGCATTTACACTGTCTTTCCACACCAGCGACTATGTCATCATATCTTTTTGTGTAGGCGTCACCAGCTGAACAGTGACCCTGCGGTGTACGCAGATACTGATATCGGCCGTACTCAGTGATGAAGGTTGTCAGTTTGCGACTTTCCTCGTCTAGCATCACTTGGTGATACCCATTAAAGGCGTCTAGAACCGTCTTGTAGCTTTTTTGGGGGGATGCTGCTTACCATGTCGAATGGTGGAGGGGTATGGTGAGTCTCGCGGAGACACGCTTTGTTACCGGGCTGGAAATCCACCGTTCTCCTCGGTTTGCCGTCCTTTTTCGGTACGGTGACCATCCTGAAGCACCACTCCGAGGGCTCTCCGGCAGGAACTGGTCTCAGGATACCCCTGGCGACATCTTCATCCAGCTGACGCTTGACCTCTTTCTTCCAGTGATGTGGAATTGGAATGGGTGTGTGAGCGACGAACGGCTCAGCTCCATCCTTCAGGTGGATGTGGTGTAGCGGCCCCGACATGGCCGGGAGCGGCTGACACGTGGTGTTGAAGGTGCTGTCCGAGAAGTGCTCCTTCAGCCAGGCCTCCAGCTTTGGTATGTTTCCCTCCGTGGGTGGAAACGGGAGCTGGTTTGGACGATCAGGCAGGTGGTGGGGCCTGTCTGTGGTCATGTCGGCGCCTTCAGGAGGATGATCAGCGCCAGAGATGGCGCCGATCTGGTGACACGGAAAGTCGGCATGTACGATGCTCAGATTCCTACATGCTGATAGCGAGAGGAACATGTCACTGACGCCCGCTACCACAAATATGTCTTCTGTGATTTGCCTGTCTTGAAGGCAAAGCCGCATCCGGATGGTGCCAAGCACTTGCAGACCACCACCGGCTGCATGCTGCAGACGTCTTGGCGTCTTCTTTAAGTGTTTGGGGCTGAGTCCCAGCTGCGTTAGATGTGAGCGACCCATGACGGAGACTTCAGCACCGGTGTCGGCGATGGCGCTGAGAACACGCGACTTGCGGCTGCCGGGGTGAGTCACAGTGAGCTGCAGGCGAGGAAGTCCGCGCCCGACACCAGCTACGACGTTAGGCTCAACGCGCACCGAGCTGAGCGTTGTCTTGCTTCGACACACAGTGCTGAAGTGGCCTTTCTTACCGCACTGGGTGCAGAATTTGTCGTGCGCCGGACAGCCTTGCCGACCCTTGGTGTGTGCAGCGCGCCCACAGAAGGAGCACGGGGCTGCCGGCTGGTGGGATTTGCCCTGCTTCTGTCGGGTGTGAGCGGACATCCTGGCGGCAAGCTCGGGTGCTTGATCTGGATCCGGCTGTTCGATGTCCTCAGCGGTGTCGACTGGAGCTACGGCCGCAGCTACAGAAGTGGCGGAAGCCATCGACAGCTCATGTTTGTCTCTATATGCTGACTCATGCGCTTCACAGTACGAGCGCAGCGCCTCGAAGCTGGAGAAGCTGCTGTGCTTCAGTAGAAGCTCCTGCTGTAGCGCCTCGCTGTGGACGCCGCAGGTGATCTGGTCAGTCAGCATCCAGTCGGTAAGGTCGCTGTTGCAGGAGGGACACGTGAAGCGGCAGTCGGCGGCAGTTTGCTTACACCGGACGACGAACTCTCTGATTGGTTCAGTCGGCGTCTGTGCTAGCGCGTGGAAACGTTTGCGAGCCACAGCTGGGTTGCTACTGTGTTTAGTGATGTTGCCGATTTCCTGCAGTGACTGGTCGACGCTGTAGCTCTGCCATTTATCGCCATGAATAGTATCGATGGCCTGCCGTAGCTGTGCGTCACACATCAGACGTATGTACGTCACGGTGGCTGAATTACAGTCCTGTGTAAGACGCTGGTAGTCACGCCAGTCACGGCAGAACGTGCGGTATTCCACGGAGGACATCTCGTACGTGCCGGTCGGTGGCCTGACGTTTTTGACTTCTCGCTGTACTGAGCGGTTTGAGGATGACTGATCAGGAGCGCTTGTGTTCGGCGCTTGGGCAGCCACGGTATGAGTCAGCTGCTCCATTAGGGAATCTCGCTGGGCCTCGCGCGCCTGGGATTCGAGGAGCGATGCTCGCAGGTCCGTTAGCTGTTGCTGCAGGAGCAAAAGCGGTGAGGTCTCTGCAGCTGATGCAGTGTCATCTGCTGGCGTATTGATGTCGCCGCTGGCCCCCTCAAACTCTTCAGCCGCTGTGGCTAGTTGTAGCAGGGCACTGGGGTCATCACTCGCCATATTGACACTTTTACTTTAATTAATACGACCGCGCCATGTAAGGGAGATATAGTAACGTATACGAGAGCGAGCAAAAGTATATTTTTTAATCCCGACCAAAACAGACACATCAATTTTCTAACGAAAAGACTCGTGCACATTAGCACGTGCTAATTGGTGTTTAGCACCCCTACATGATGCAAAAGAATCAAATATTTTTATGTGTCTTATTCTCGGCTGCGATTTTCAGGAAAGCCTCGGAGCAAGAACTATTGATGACGTCGTGAAACTGTTTGAAATGCAAGCTGACACATCACGACAGCTGACTATGGTATGGAAGGATACGGAAAACAACATCAAGACGCTCAAGAAGAAGAAGCAAGACAATGAACTGGAAATAGAAAAGCTAAAATATGCCGATAACCTTGAAGAAATTAGGTGAGCTTAACGACCGTTACGCGCTCAATAGACAATTTTATGAATGTGACTTTTAAATCATGTCTAGTTTTAAGTGCCACAGTAAAGCAGCATAACGTACCTAACGTACTAGGCGATTCAGTGCTTCCAATCCAATCTCTAGGAACGACTTTTTAACTGTACTTTCCTCAGAATGCGAAACCAGTGTCTGGAGCTGCGGGAGACCATCGAGGGCCACCTGGCCAGGAAGAAGGTGCAGGACGACCGCGTGGAGGTCATCATCGGCACCCTGTCCCGCCTGCGAGCCGGGCTGACGCACATGGTCGACCAGTTCCAGGTATGTTACCGCCTCTGCAGCTGAATGGGTGCAGTTGTTTGCATTTGCTCCACTTAAAAAACAAATGTTTTGATATTTCGAGCACAAATACAAACACATTTTCCAATCTGAGTGTCATATGTTTTTTCAGGAGAACGGTCTGACGGTGTTGAAGTTACCGTCCAAGTCTAGCAGTCAGCTGCCGCCCATCGCCGCCCTGTTCGAGGCGGTCCACACCGCCGTCCAGTTCGTCATGGAGCCGATGCAGACCGTCAACGTGCCGCAAATGGTGAGGTTGCCTCAGTCGGGATCGCTAGGACAGCGTTTCTCTGAGAGAAGTGCATTCCGTGGCATCCGTCCGGGCTAGTGACAGTTTCGTGCACTGCGGTACAGCCTAACAATCGTCCGCTGTATTGCGGCACAGTCTACCGCCGAGCGACAGACTTACCCGTCGCGCATCGACGGGAGAGTTACAGAGTCATCACTTTCTCTTAGAACATTAGAACACACATGTTATGCCCGTGCTAGGCCTAGGTTTCGTCACTGCTGGGCCTATCAAATTTCGATCTACTGTGCTGAGAATAAAACGCTCGCTGGTTGTTTTAATGCCAATGTCTCTGAGTTCTCACATACGTAGCTCCACGTTCCTCGAAGAGTGATTCAGGGGCGTGAGCCTAGAGCACGGGCTGACAGTCCCTTCCTATTTCTCTCCACAGATGCTGGAAATGGATGCCAAGGAGTTTTCTGCCACCAAGTCAGAACTGGACGCGCTGGATCACAAAGTGCGCGGCGTTCCCCCCATCCGACCGCCGGGAAAGAAACGGTTCTCGTTCTTGCTGGTAAGTTCAACGGTACATTGTGTTTGTGCTTCTACTCGCATTCCTTCTAATACTTCTACTCGCAAAAGAAGGAATATCTTGGGGGAAAAGTAAAAGTGAAAGCGAGGAAATCACAGGCCCTTTGAAAGGGGCCTCTTAATTCCATGGATAGCTTCAACTTCAACTTGAACTTCAAAAAGTTGTTAATCTTATCGTTGACTCATACTAAAGTCTTATCAATAAGACCTTAAACGATAAGCGTTACGATTTTTAAACCATGTAAGATTTCTAACCACCGCTCACCGTGCCTCCCCTGTGTTACAGCTGGACCGTCCAGACGTAATAGACGAGGGTCCGAGCGTGCTGACCCGGGCACAGATGAAGCGGCACGCCCAGGTCATGATCGAGGCCCGACAGAGGAAGATCCGGCCGCCCACCAGCCGCGACCTGCGGAAGACGCGGCGGCGCAGCACGGTCATAGACAGGGGCCTGCAGGCCATGTTCTGAACGCACCGGGCAGGGGGAGTGGGTAACTATGACCGTGATTACACTGAGCCTGCATTATTTCTGCACATAATTGGAGTCGCACAGCTTGTGTCGCGAACAAGCTGCGCTGTACTTCCTATACGTGTCTCCTGCGCTTCAGTAGCTGGCGCAGGATAGATGCATGGCTATCGTTCGAGATAACCTTGTCATCAACATTTATGAATTCAAGGAAGGTAAGGCCTGCTCAACCGAAACATGAATCATTTGTCGACTTGGGCACGGCTCTTCTATCTATTGTCGTGTGTCTTGTGTCTCAAAGCCATGGACTGACTGAATGTTTTCGGAGTCGAGCAGCGTTCCACGAAATCGACTACGATTATTCGAAACGATCAAGCGATTCGAACTTGAAATGAATCAGCATTTCACCGCGTAGCCATGACGCCAATTTTACAAATAATGCGAACTGAATGCGCTATTGGAGGATGTGTATGATTGTTTAATGATGTTCATTGTCGCAAAAGGTAGCATCAAAGTCCTGCTTACCCGATTCCAGATCTGAATGATGAGTAACATGAACTAGGATTTGCATCAGTTCAGCACTGGAGTTTTGGTAGCCTAGCAGGACACGTGTATGATTGTTTTGCATTCATCGTGTTTCACGCTTGTTCATCCTGGTTGCTAAGCACTCATGTACAAATACAGCATCCGGCTCTTATGGTACATACCCATCGCTCGACATCCGTTTCTCTTTGACCCAGGCATTTAAGATACCTTTTCTCAAATGTCTGACAAGGTCGTACCAAGTTCTTTGCTGAGCACGACGAATGAGATCTGAATCAAATGATTTTTTCGTACTTAAGAACGTGTATTAGTCACCACTTATATCGTTCTCTCAGCCGCATCACGTCAATGCCACATGTAACTTAACAAGCATTCACCCTGCCAGCCTTCTGCGAACAATCCTCTCTTGTAGTAGTCAGACAATAAAAACTTCTAATAAATATCATTTGCAAAAGCACATCCATGCATACATCGATGAACGATCCAGCATAAAACAACTCTGCATCGCAACAATTAACGTTTACCGATGCATTCTGGTAAACATTCTCGTAACAACGTAAAGAAACAGTTCTTACAGCTCTCTACCGCAACAACAAACTAACAACCATTCACTCCACTCTCGCTAAATAAATATCACATCCTTGCAAAGATGATTCCATGGTCACACCTGACCTCTCATGAGGCCACTCATTGAGCACTTGTTCAGAATGGGTCTAATTATTTTTTTTTTCGATATTCTCTACAAGAGGAACTAATGCGTTTATATGACATGTAATGGGTCTAAACGTATGCGAACACACAGCTTTTTCTGAGAAATGGAAGATACCTCGATAAACGTCCCTAGCAAAGACGGCCTTGGTGCATTTTTAGAATGATTAGTGCAGCAACGTCAGGCGGGTACAGTAAACGCCTGCTAGCAGTTGAATACGTAGTTCACCTATCCGATCAATGAGGAACAATAACGCTGGCTATGTCTGTGCAAAACCAGCATCTCGTCTCTTGGGAGAGCTTCATCAGTCTCGTGACACCCACGCCTCTGCGACGATCATACTAACCACGAATCGTACAGAAACATAATCTCCAGTGTCCCGTCTCTGATGTACGAATCCCGCGACACCACTCCGCCTTGTGGCAGCCACTCTATATGACCGGCGTCTTCGGGAAGTCTATCCCCCATACCGGCCGGTGTTCTGTTCTATTTGAGCGGCTCCTGCTAGCGGAAGCCGCGGCGACTGCTGACGGTTGACGAACCGTCCATTCGAGGGAAGTCCTCCACCAGACTGGTCTCCGACTGTGCGTCCGAGTCCTGAACACATGAACAGTGAAGATTGTCAGTACGGTACAGAGAAATGCAACACAATACGGCACGGACAATTAAACATGTGAGGTTGATGCTGGACAGTTTAAACCATCCTTAGAATGCACACATAAATAGCCACAAATTTCACTGTTGCCAACACGATTATGTGATCAATTGTCACGCACCTGAGCCCTCCTAAACAGATGAGTCTCCGGCATCACATATGTCGATGCCGCGTCGCGCTCTGCCATGGTGTGGTGCTCCTGGAGATAAAGAGAGAAACGTGTTAGGAACAAGCTATATTTCAAAGGGCATTGGCAGGATCCATGGAACGCATTTGACGAAACTTCACGGTTATTTCATTATACAAAAAGTTTGGACGTGTTCAATGCTACAATTTAAAACGATCCGGCTTTGAATGTGTTTTTATACTTACGTAAGTGTAGCCATGCGAGCTGGGCGCGTGTGAGCTGCGCTGACTGCGGGTGGTGTCGAAGCGGGCCACCGGCCGGACGCTGGGCTCAATCAGCTCCTCGTTAAAGGAGAGCGCGTCCGACATGGTCCTGGAACAGACGCGCCGGAGCGGTCAGGTGGAGGTCTGCAGGACAGCCGTACAGCGTGGGACAGCTGGGCCATCGCGAGAACAACACACGTCTTGGATGGGTGTCTTAATCACAAACTGCATTTTATTTTATCGGCAGTTGATACCTTCATTAAATCATTGCTGGTCTGCACTTTTTATCAGCGTTGTATCGAGATTGAAAATGACGTCATAGCACCGCATGTAGACGCTGAAACCATCACTGATCCCCTCCGCACCCTCCGTCGTCCCTCACCTGGCCCTGAAGAAGTTGTGCGTGCCGCACTCGATCCTCTCCGGCTCGCCGCTGACCGAGTCGGAGCTGCGGCTGCCGCTCCGGCCGCTGGGCAGCTGCGACACCTCCGGCTCCGGGCGGCGGCCGCCGCTGGAGCTGCGGCTCCGGCCGGCCGGCGTGTGGCTGACCTGAGAGTCGGGCTCGGCGCGGCCCGAGCTGCGGCTGGTGCGGCCGGCGCGGAACGTACCGCCGGCAGAGCGGCCCCGCGCCGCCTCCGACGGGTGGAGCAGGCCCATCAGCTGCGGCTGCAGGGGAGGGAGGGAGGTCAGATCAGCTGCGGTTGCACGGGGAGAGGGCGGTCAGATCAGCTGTGGCTGCAGGGGAAGGGGGGTCAGATCAGCTGCAGAGGCGGCACCAACGGGGAAGGGGCTGTCTAGGAGGACAGAGTAACTGGCACCCCTAAGAAATGCAGACGGTGGGCCCCGGCCCATGCTGTGTCCACTTGGCCACTGGATGGTGAAAACTGGCGGTGGAGTACTCACACAACTCATGTCGCCTGTGTCATAAATAAACTGAGCGGTTCACAGGGTTAAGCCCATGTTCACACATTTACACACCAATGGCAGCCAAACGACCTCAAATGGCATCCAAGTGACCTCTGTGGAAAGTGTGATTCGTCACTTATACTACGAGCACCTTTAATCATTCGTAATTATGAGAAATTGGTCAAAGGTCAGGCTAGAAACAAAATGACAGGAAGGCGCCTGGGGAGAAACCTACACAGCCCGTCTTCAAACACGAATGGGGTTCTAACCACAGCCGACCCCATGCAATGTCTTACTGTGATCGGCCTGAACAGCGACTGAAAGCGAATCTCCCCCCTCTCCCTCTCTCTCTCTCTCTCTCTCTCTCTCTCTCTCTCTCTCTCTCTCTCTCTCTCTCTCTCTCTCTCTCTCTCTCTCTCTCTCTCCACCCGTCTCTCTACTGACCTGTGTCCTGTTGGGTGCCACCGCCGGGTCGCCGCCACCCTGCGAGTTGATGGACCGCGGGCCGGAAGGCGCGTCCGTCTTGTGCCGGGGCCGAGGCAGGAACCGGGCCGGTCTCTGGGCCTCGCCCGCTGAAGGCTGCTGCGAGCTGCGACTGCCGGGACCGGAGGGCTTCGAGCCTCCAGACAGCGGCGGCAGCAGGCGCTTACCGCCGTTCGGGGGACGCTGAGGGTTAGGAGAGAGTCTCAGTGACTGATGCTGAGTGATCGCAACGGTTGGAAACAAAGCTAAGAAGTTGGCAACACACGCGGTTTATCGACGTGGTTACGCCAATGATCTGTTTTTTCGCTAACAGTTCACGGGGTTACTGTCGGCGTCTAACTCTATCTAAGTGCGAAGTATAGAAGAACTCGATACCTACAGCTCAACTCGTCACTGACCATGTGACCCAGTATAACCCCTGTCCCGGTCCTTACCCTTCGGGAGGAGACGGGTATGCTGGTATCGCTGCTACTGTCCAACATAGCCCGCTGGTCTGCCACCGGCTGGTGGAGCCGACTGCCGCGATGGCGCCACAGACCACCAGGTCCGGAGAACACTGAGAGCAGAGCGGAACGGAGGATGTCAATATTCAATACGGTGTTGACTGCCGATAAGTCCATTCATGCTCGTAAGCACTAAGCTTACCTTATATTTATATGAAGAATGAATTAGCACGTGCTAACAGCAATGTCAACATGCATTCAACACGAGTAAAAACGATGCATGAGCCGGGACTTTACACAAGTTCCTAGACGTTCTCTTACCGAGCGGCGGAGCGGCCATGCGCCGGCCGCGGCGACGACAGCAGAAGTAGCAGCACACGCAGAGGAGGGCGGCCAGCAGGGCGCCGGCGCTGGCCAGCGCGATCAGCAGCACGCGCAGGTTCACCTGGCACCGCTGGCCGGCGTACCAGCGGTGGCAGCGGCACGCCGGCTCACCGCTGGGCTCGGTGTAACACTCGCCGCTGTAGCTGCACTCGGGACAGCCCGAGTACTCGCCTGAGGGCGCGGCAGGGGAGAGAACGGTCAAGCAGGGAACGAACGGCCATGACAGACCGCGGCAGATCTATCTTCGGGAAGGAGTGTGAGATAGTTACTATACATATAAGAAAATGAAAATTGACTTCCAATTGACAGTTGTTGTAGCAGCTCTAGCGAATGCCGCACATTCGCTAGCGAAGACTGAGCTACATATACCGCCAGAGAACGCAGCAGTGCCGTACAGGTGTCGCCACCAGAGACGGCCGTGGTCGGCGGCTAAACTCACCGGTACAGGAGCGTCCGGGCAGACTCGGTACCCCAGTGTCCACCAGACCGTCCCTGCAGCTGCACGTGAACGAGCCGACCAAGTTGAAGCAGAAGGCGCCCTCGTGACAGTCGTTGTAGTCCGAGTTCTGGCACTCGTCAAAGTCTGGCGGCAGGGACGGAGAAAGTTAGAGCAGAAGTCGCACCGCTCGATAGGAATATATAACGCTGCCTGCTACGCATTACGTGCGCGGTGAAACCGACTCCACGTAATCATGAAGGAGTTTGAATTATTTGATGGAGTAAGAGTTAGTGTCATACCTCATGCAAGGTGAAACTTTTATGGCGAAATGATCGTTCCAATATAACCCTTTATAGTGAACTCTTTCAGAGATAAGTGCTTCCATCATGATATGAAATTTCTCTTATTATAAGTTGCGAGCGTTGATGAGATCCCATCATCTTTAACCGTGCCCGCATTCATGGAAGCAAGCACGTTTTCAGACAAACGATCACACCCGCTTATCGATATCAGCGCCTTGACGGGTAGATATGGGAAAGGACCAGGGCCGGGCGAGGCTAGAACAGGGCGTGGCGTCCTCACCGATGACAGTCACATCCCCGTGCAGCGGCGAGACGACCACCTGCCGGTCACTGAGCGAGTAGTTGGATCGGCGCAGTGACTCCTCCACAATCACCTGCAGGCCGTCCTTGTCCAGGGATTTACTTTCTCTGTCGGTGATCTGTGGACGGGGACGGGTGGGAGGGTTACTCAACGGACACTCGGCGGCGGGAACGTCGGGCGGAGACATTGATACCTCGCCGGGGACGGGTGATAGTGAGATATAGACAAATGGCTACTCATGTTGGTAAGGACGGATATAGCCGGGCTAAACCGGCTACTACGGACAAAGGAAGCACCATAACGCGTCAGAGTTCCAAAACAAACAGACGGTATTGTTTAGGAACATTATATGACAAATTATATGCTATTAGTATAAGATGACATAGCTTGATCGTATTCCCGGATGCCATGTTATATATTATATGCCATGTTAATTCTATACGTTAGACATATTTTGTATAACCAAAAAGAAAGATAACGTCTAAACTAGCTCACCATAGAAAACAAAATCTCTCTTCCCCCATCCAATCATAAGGTACACCCAAACTATCTCTGCCGATTCTCACCTGTACCATCACATCAGCCATTAGCGCCTGGGGTCGGCTGGGGGCCACTCCGGGCAGGTCGGCCGCCCGTTTGAACTCCATCAGGGTGGCGCCGTGCAGCCGGCTGGCCAGCGGTCCGCTGGAGGAGAGGCTCTCGCGCAGTCCGCCGGCGGCCAGCTCGGCCAGCTGTCGGTACTCGGGCGAGGCGGGCTCGGCGAACGGCCGCCGGTACTGCAGCGGGATGTCGTTCACTCGGTCCAGCAGCATACGCACCTGGTATGTCAGCGACGCTGCGGACCAGACGGAGGCACCGCGTCAGGCCAAGGAAGTCGGGAGACAGCAGCAGCATCAACGATAGCGATCACAATCAGGCAGATGCAACAAATGTCCTTTATCTGCGCTTGGATTTGGAGAAGCGCTACTTTCAACATTTTGCTCAAGGCGTACGGCCACCCAGCCCAGACCCATCCGGGTCCCGCAGTTCCAACTCACGTTCACAGGCGTCACTGTCCCGCGCTCTGGAGAATCCCGGCCGGCAGAGGCAGCGGTGCTCGCCGCCCATCTTACGGCACACCTCGTTGATGGCCGCCTGGCACTGGCGAGGACACTTGTCCTCCTGCTCCTTGTCCTCGGAGAGTAGTGGCTGCTCCAGACCGGGCGTCTCCACGCCGCGGTTGGCGTCGTTCTCCTTCTGGGTGGGGATCAGCAGTCCGGCGATCGCCACCGAGCCACGTCCCGTCGGAGGTGCCGCCGTGGAGGTGGTGCTGGGCACTGAGGAGCTGTCTTCGCCTTCTCTCGGGACAGAGGTACCCTTGGTGCCGTCCTGAAAACATTTTGTTTTGAGTTACTGATATCAGGAAATAGTTCTAAAAGGGAAAAACATATTAACAGAACCAGAAGGAGTGAAGAACACTTACACCAAAGACTAAACATTTTGCATCAGTTAGGTACTTAGCCAAGTGGTTTTGGAGAGTGGAACCTGCCATAAAAGTAGCGAGTTATTTAAAACATTTTTCATGAACTCACCTGAATTTCGAACGTTGCCTCTGGACCTGTTGTGACCGACGAGGGCTGCTCTGTGGTGGTAACTTCAGTGACATCTGCAACCACTTCTCCAACAGTCGATACTCCGACGACGACTTCCACCGGGTCTTCCTCGTTGGCACCGGCATCAGCGGTGGACGGGGGAGGCGCGGCAGCCTCAGAGACGGAGTGCTCCACCGAAACCTCCTGTGACGTCTCAGAGGTGCTGATACTCAGCGACACATCAACCTTCGTCTCCGGGGTCTGAGCATCTCCGGACACCTCCTCGTCCGGCTGTTGTGAGTCCTGGACGTCAGTAGCAGTTTGCTCCGCTTCGTCCTTGGCGGCTTGGTCAACCTGTTCGTCCTCTGGTAGTAAAGCATCTGAGCTCTCCGACTGCTCTGCAGCGTCTGATGCATCCAATACCGGGCTTTGACCTTCAGCAGGTGTAGCCTGATCTTCTGTGGTAGTTTCCTGCTCACCAATCACCTGAGGCGGCACACCTTCTTCACTTCCCTCGACGGTGGAGGCTGACGTGCCAGTTTCATAATAATCCGGATAATATCCTGGAGACGAGGTACCGGTTTCATAATCCTGACCGAATCCAGGGCCAGAGGTGCCAGTTTCGTAGTCATCTCCATAAGACCACCCGTAGTCTCCGATCTCCCCATCCGCTCCGTTATCCCAGGCACCAGCACCAGCGCCCGTTCCTTGACCATCAGCTGGTTCCGTGCTCTCGGTGCCGTATTCACTGCCGAACGAAGGCCACGCAAGACCACCCGCGCCTCGCTCCTCGTCTTCGGCCGCTCCAGGGCGCACGATTCCGGGCGGCACGCGGCGGCGATCTGTTGTCTGACTGGTGGCGATCCCCGGTGGAATGCGAGTCCGTGAGGGTGAGATGGTCGCGGAGCTAATGCGCACTAAGGAGCTCGAGCTGGAGAGTTCCACCGTGACGAGAGTGCTGTCGTCGCGAGAGGCAAGGAGGGTCTGTCGGATGATGTCGGCAAGGCTGGGACGCCGACTGGGCTTCCTCCTGCCGGGCAGACTGAGAGCATTCAGACCCGGTGTTCGACTGCCTGACGCCGACTCATCAGAATCCTGTTCCACGCTGGAGGCAAGGCTGATTCCCGGTGGTCTTCGGCTGTTGTCAGTGCTTCCGCCATCATCACTGGTTTGCACCCATTCCTCTCTAATAGATGGATCTAGATCCAGATCATGCTCCTGATGAGTTGCTTTTGGAGTTTCATTGGTCTCGTCTTCAGAGGGGGCGAAAGCCCCTGATTTTATATCAGAATCTATCGCTACTTTGTCGGCAGATTCATTTACAGTTTGTTCCTGGTCAGTATTGAAAGTTACTCCATTACCCTGAGCATCTCCTACAGCTTCGCTATTTTCAGCTTCCAATAGATCTGAACCAGTTGTGGGTTCACTTTGGTCACTGCTTTCATGGAACTCGGCCCAGGCTGGCCTTTTTATTCCCGTAAACGGTTTTCTAGTTGCGGCTGGTCTTCTATTTGCACTTGGCCTTCTAGTCAAAGCTGGTCTTCTAGTTACAGCCGGCCTTCTAGATCCCCTGAAAGGCCTTCTGGTAACCGATGGTCTCGAAGTTCCTCGGAAAGGTCTTCTGGTAATTGATGGTCGAGCAGTTCCTCTGAAAGGTCTTCTGGATACTGATGGTCTCACGATTCCACGGAATGGCTTCTCAGTTTGTCCCGAGTTGCTTGTCTCATGGTCATGCTCATCTATTGATTCTGAAGTAGTATCGTCTGCGGAAATGGAGTTTAATTCTTTAGTCGAGTCGTTCTCCAGCGCAAAGTCACCTATTTCTGCATCAGGAGCGCCCGAACTTTGTGTTGGAACAACATTCGGTGGAATACCTGTCGATTCATACCCAAAGCCCGAAGATGGTTGATACTCATCATTGTTTTGGTCACCCTGCTCGAATGCACCTTCATTTTGCGATTGAGCTGCTCCCGAAGTAAAATCCTCGGCGCCCTCTTCACCGTTGACACGCAGGGAGCTTCCTCCATCAAGAGACTGTCCATCCGTAGAAGGCCTAAGAACAATTCTGACACCCTTCTGGTTTTCGCTGCTTTCCGATGGTCTTTCATTCCACCCTTGCCACACCGAGCCCCCATCGGCAGTTTTCTCGTCATCTGCTTCAGAAACTTCAAGTTGTTCTCGCTGCCGGTTTGTCCAGTCAGCATTATTACCATTGCTGTCGGTTGGTTTTCGGCTCCACGCAGGCAGGCTCGTCTCTTCGGAGGGATTGTACGTGTCAGTATCTTGTCCCTGCAGTCCTTCTTCTTCACTAGAACCCGGCGTTCTCTGGCCCCAAGCAGACTCATCGAAATCTCCCGGTGCTGCTGTTGCTGATGTCGAGCCTGCAGTTGTTCCAGCTTGTCCATTCGAAGCTTGGTCTACTCCATACTCACCCTGCCATGTGAAGTCATTGTCTCCTTGACCTTGTTCATCTGCAGTTGCTGATGTAGGGTCACGGGTAGGTTCACCGATGAGTGAATCAATGCCACCATTCGCTCCAGGTCCTGAGGCGTCAGGAGTTGAGGGCCTCTGCGATTGAAGCGACAAGTCTCGTGTTGTTTCATCATTTTCATAAGTTTGATCCAATGTGTTCTGGCTTGGCCGCCTAACGCTTTCGCCGTTTCCATCAGGGTACTGTTCACTTATCGTTGTGCCCGAGGACGGATCATATTGTGGCACTGAGTAGTCGTATCCAATAGTTGGGCTGGGTTTTCCGCTATCGTCATATTCAGCCTCATCCCCCTGTCCGTAATCGTTAAACTGGTTAGGATCGTTGGGAAGCTGAGTGTCCACGAGAGGCGATTCTGTTACAGGTAAGCCCTCGAAATTAATGCCGGCTAAGCCAGGAAGACTTGGCGCACCAGGAGCATTCGACGGGGTCAGCGCATTGTAGTCTGACTCGCGATCGTTGCCGATGTTGTCTTTGTTTGTCGAACTCCCGAATTGGTCTTCCGTATCATCAGGATAGAATGGCTCTTCCCTCACCGACGAGCTTCCAGAAATGCCAGAAGGTGAAGAGCCAGAAGGACCTGAGGTCCCTGAAGTTTTATATTCAGAGCTCGGCAGTCTCTGGCCAAACAGATCCGGTGAACTTCCCTGCGACTCCGGCCGGGCTACTTTAATATCAGAGTTGGACTCATAACCATTATCAGGGAACGGTTGGTACGCTCCCCCGTTATTGGTTACTGAAGCAATGTCTTGTGGTGTCTGCAGTTCCTGAGGCACAACTTCCACAGGTGCCTGACTTTCTGCTTCAAAGCTCTGTGTAGGCCTTGCATTAGCAATCGCGCTACTTAGCCCAGGTGTCACTGTTCTTTCGGGAATTCGGTCAGTGTCTGCGCTGGTAACTGGACCTGATGTCAGCGACTGCTCCGAACCAATAGCCGACGATGACACAACGCCAACTGTTCGCGTAGCCTGAGTTGGTGCCACTTGACTGGGTCCAACTGCAGATGGGCTGCTATCGGCTTCCAGATCCAGTGCATTTAGGGTTTGAAGTGGGCCCACCTGTTTGAATACGTTGGTTCCTACGATACGGTTGGGACCCTCGACTGAGGCGATGGTATGAAGAGTTGGTACCAGGACGGGCGTCACCCGTGTCAATGGCGTCTCCTGCTGCTGGCCATTGGCAGGTGCAGTTATGATGCGAACAATATCTTCAGGATCTCTTTGGACGTTGCCATCTGGACCAATGTTGGTGAAAACACTAGCCGAGGACTTCTGGTCATCACTTGGACCCTCCTGATCAACACTGTTCAGTTCGAAGTACGACGGAAGGTGTGCCGTAACTGCGGTATCGCCAGGAACGGGATGCGGAGTTCCCTTGACGTCCGACTTGAACACAAGTGCGTCAGCCTGGAGCTGCGGTGCCTGCGCCAGATGTTCTCTGTACAGTGTCTCAGAGTGCGCGGACGGTGTGGTAGGGCCAGGAATCGGCGCTCCAGTCGGAGGAACCTGGTGACTGACAGGTCGAGTGGGGTACGGGCGGTCCTGGAGAGAAATCTGGTGTCCACTGATAGCCTGGCGTTGGGCATTGGGCGGCAGCGGGGGCCTGAGAGTCCCAGACTGGTGCAGAGGCTGAGGTCTTAGTTGTCCTTCAGAGTGTGAAGGTCTACCATGAGTCACAGGCTGGTTGACTGGTGGCGGTCTCACACTTCCCGTATTTGAAGGATGGGGCCTTGCGTGTCCTTGCTGGCTGTGTGGTGGTGGTCTGACGTTGGGTCCATGCTGCTGATGCGGCTCTCCTACTGAAGACCCGTGTTGTGGGGGATGATGCAGTCCAGGTCCAGCGTGGTGAGGGGGTGGCCTGACGCCACCGTGGTGAGGCTGTGTCGGCGCCACGTGAACGGTAGGTCCTGGCTGTGGGTGACGGTCACCGCCTGATGGGGGACGGGCGTGCTGCTTGTGCTGCGTCGGCACTCTGTGAGTCGACTGCTGGTGCTGGGCTGGCTCTCGTTTGAAGTCAGCGGGCGGAGTGGGGTCTCCAGGACGGACGGCAATGTAGCCGGTGGGATGGGGCCTCGGTCGCCGGCTGACCGGCCTGCCGGGGCGGTGAAGGTGGTTCGGTCCCACCGGACGGCCAAGAGGATGGGCCAGCGGACGGCCGGGTCTGCCCGGTCTCACGGGACGGCGCGGCCCGTCTATACGGGGAGGGATGTGCGTTAGAGGACGTGCCCCAGGCTGTGGCCGACGGAGATGGTCTCCCCGTCTGACAGGCGCTCCAGGACGTCGTTGCGGATGGGGCTGGGCTTGAGGAGTCGGGGCGAGGAAGCCGGTGCGGCGAGTTGGTGGAGTGTGGGTGTTCTCCTGTGCCCTGTTCAGAGGAATCCTCTGTCCGCCGGGACCAATGACGACGAGGTACCCATTGTCATTCCTATCTGCAGACGTTTGGTGGCGACGGATCCCACCAGATGGCCTGAAACCTGGCCGGAAAGGTCTAGCTCCAGGTCGAGCTCCCGGCCTACCACCGGGACGAGGTATCTGGAAGGGCAGTCCACCGACCGGCGCTCCCGAACTTCCGTCACGGCGCAAGGGCAGCGGCAGAGGAATGACGTTGCGGATGAGTCCTGCAGCGAGACCTCCCAGCCCAAGCAGACCACCGGCCAGGCCACCCAGACCCGGCGACAGAGCGCTGCTCTCGGAGACTGACGTTGAGGTGCTGGTCTGGACACTGGTCTGGACGGTGGTAGTTGCGGGACTTGGCGCGGCAACTGGCGCAGGAGCAACGAGGAACTGACTTGGTTTCGGTGCCTGGGGCTTCGCTGGCTTGCTTGTAGTCTGAGCTTTAACTGGTTTGCCAGGAGACGCTGCTTCAGGTTTCGTTGGTTTGGCTGGAGCTGGAGTTTGTGGCTTCGTTGGTTTAGTTGGTGATGTCGTTTGTGGTTTGCTGGGCTTGCTCGTTGAAGGTGTCTGCTGTTTAGTTGGCTTCTTAGGAGGCTGTACCTGGAGCTTCACTGGCTTGTTGGTGGACTTCACTTTTGTCGCGAGTGGTTTAGGCACGGATGACACCTTAGATGCCTCAGGGATCTGCTCTGTTTCAGGAGCTGGTGTCTTATCTGATGTTTCTTGTTCAGTCTGTGAGAGTTCAGCAGCTTGTGAGTCCGCAGTGAACTGTTCACTTTGCAGTGACCCGGGAGAACTGACGACTGTATCCGGGATCAGGACAGTGGGCGCCGAGGCCGGCTGGTCAGAGCCAGTGCTTTCCTTGTCCGCCTCAGCCACCAGTGCCTGAACGGCCAGGAGTACCGCGTTCTTGTCCTCCTCAGTCACAACTCCAGTTGCAGCCGCTGAGGTCAGACTCTGTTCGTCCAGGTCCTGAACAGAATCCTGAACACTATCACCGCCAGCAGACTCCACGGTGGATGCAGCTGTCTGTCTGACAGGGGTCAGGAACACCAGCTGCTGCTCTTGCTCCCCCTCATCCTCCAGGTCCTGCTGGTAGCCGGGCTGGCCCAGCCAGGTGACGGTCCGGCTGACGAGTGGACTCAGCGCAGTGGTCGCCACCTGCAGCCAGGTGGTGCTCAACTCCGTCTGCATGCGCGACGTCACCTCGGTGCGCGAGCGGACCACGGTGCTGCCGCCCTCTACTAGAGTCGTGTAGAACGTGCTCGTGGTGTAGAAGGTGCGCGTCGCCGCCATCACTACAGAGTTGAGCGCCTCCTCGTCTTCGGTGACCTGACTGGGCTCCACGATGGGGGTGAGGACGGCGGCGCCTGTGGGCCGCTGGGGGGCCATGGTGGTCAGTACCACGGGTCGGACGGCGGCCGGGCGGGGCACCACGGCAGGCAGACGGGCCGCCTCGGTCACCACCACCTGAGTGGTGACCTCCTCAGTAGATGTGACGCGCGGCCGGCCGCCCGCCGACGCCGCCGACTCCGTCTTGTAGTAGGTGTAGGTGGTCTGGAAGGTCTCAGTGCGGCGCGTGGTGCCCGAGGGAGGCGTCTGACCGGGTGCCAGCGACGTCACTCGCGAGATGGTCTCCCGCGTGGTGATGGCCACCGGCCGGGCGTCCTTGACAAACCGATCGATGAACGTGAAGGTGGTGTACAGGGTGTGCACCCGAGACTGGTCCACGTTCAGCTGAGGGGTCCCCTGCCGGAGAAAAGGAATGCGTCGATGAGTCCATTGGCATGGCTGCGTTTGAGGAAGGCTTATCTTTTAACCAGGACAGAGCAGTGTCAAAATTAGCAATTATTGATGGCTTTTACTTTCTCCTACATAAGCCCTTCAAAATAAGCATGTGATGTATCTTATAAGCTAATGCGGTTAATAACGCATAAAGGATAAATAATAAAAAGAGGTTATGAGTCGTCCGGAAAACTTCAGTCATGCTCCAAAGTCAGTTCAGTTAAGAGCATCGGCCCTGCAATCTCCACCAAGCCACCCTCTCTGGAAATCCCACCGCTAAGACTCGGCTTCTCGGCTGCCGAGATTCGTGCAGCCTGCCATCACGGGAGTCAAGGTCAGCTGTGCCTCTCACTCTCCATTAGCGGCAGGGTCGAACGACCACTGTGCAAGGTATATTTACAAACAAAGGACATAACACCTTGACTCAGTTGCAATACAATAACAATTAAGACGGTGCTGTAACGATAGCAAAAAGGGTGCAATAGTGTCGTCTGAGACGGAAGCTGTAGCTAATCAAACGTTTATCAATATACCGGGAAATCGCAATGAGGAACTGATCAGCAAATCTTTCCCGTTAAACAGCCTATATCCCGGTTCATGGCGACATTTTAGGATCCGTGAGCCCATCTACAACCGCTCGGGGCGGTGGCAGTCATTGGCCAGGTTCACGGGGACCCCTGCACTCTGCAGCAGGGTAGGAAGAGTGTGCTGGAGAGAGAGAGAGAGAGAGAGAGAGAGAGAGAGAGAGAGAGAGAGAGAGAGAGAGAGAGAGAGGGGGGGCTGATTCAAGGCCGGTCGGTCAGTCCCGACTGGGGACAGCGGTGCTCGATGTGGAAGCCGGACCCACAAGTCACCGCTGCGATGCAGCAAACGAGAACGTCGAGGCTCCGGCCCGCGTGTTGGGCCTGGTATTGAAAGTGTGACCGGTTTTCAAACATCGAACCGAAGTGTTCTCGTGGGGTCGTTTTTGTCATGTGATTGCTGAATTACACCGTTTCAATGACAGGTACAGGTCATAACTAGTTCATGACTATGAAGACGTGGAGCCATGTCACTCACCTGGCCATCGTCCGGATCAGAGAGCGGCACCGGCGGTGCTGGCAGGTCCTGCGCCGCGGCAGCAAGGCCGAGTTCTGAAACGATATTGATCAAATATTAAGCTCATATTATGAATGACGTAATGTCGTATTTGTTATAGCTAGCAGTCATTTCAAGGACGTTTAGGTATTAGATATCTTACATGGATACTCAAATGACTTACATCACTAGCCAAGCGCTGTCATGATCAAACTGGCATGACAGAATTGATGACAATGCGTTTAGCATGCGCTCGTCGCTTACCTGAATCACTATCAGCTTCCGACGACTGTGATAATTGTTCCGCTTCTGCTGAAAAGTAGGATGGATGCATCATTTTTATCGCTGTTTCACATCGTGAGCAAACTTTCATTTGAGTTATACGTTACTTTATTGGCCCATATAGCTAGGTATTGTATCTGTATGCTCATGAATCGTATCAATTGGAATTCTAGAGAGAAGTTCTAACTTATACTCCGCAACTAGATGGATCACAAACTATTTTACGACTAAGAAGTTACACGATCATATGAGCTTAGGAATTTTCCTGCCGTGAACAATGCCGAACAAAAACTAAGAGCTAGAAGCTTACTCGAATGCTACAATGACCCAAATAACTAAACGCGCTAATGACCACAATCTGTCAAATGCGAAAGCATGCTAAATCGGGTCCTAATCTGCATATGCTACAGGAAGCTGTCAAATCAATCAAAGCCTAACTAACCGATGCTAGGAATGTGGCTGGTGACCTGGTTGTGGACTGTGTTCGTTTGGTGTGGATATAGACCGAGCTGAGACCTTACCTGTGTCTGAGGGAGGTGGGACTTCCAACTGTCTCGGACATCAGACTGTCGATCATGCTCCGGGCTGTCTCTTGCCGCAGAGGATTGCTGCTTCTCCCGTATGGCCCGTGAGTTGATCATTATAAGGGGAGAGTGTTGAAGGAGAGATGAAACGATGTGCTTAACCTAAACAATTATGCATGAGATAAGCGATAATAAGTCATGGACTGAGGAAGCACGCCTATACCTATACATATTGGGTTTGTTCTGCTTTGACCTATTACGAGCATATGAGCAAATATGCTCGCTTTTGTTGTGCTTGAGCGCATCCAATTCTTCAGCAACTCACCTACATGTTTTATGATGCTGCCGCTTGTCGTAACGCGAAACGCTAGTGACATTTTTAGAAGTTTGCAGCAAATAAGTTATATTTCGTTGTGTGAAAAGCTTACTCTGCAGCACGGTATCGAAGAGAACGACAAAAAAGTGTATGTGTCGATTTCCACATGTATTTACAGAAAACACATTCAGTCATGGTCAATTCTAGGCATATATGAGTTCGATCTCATATTCCTTCATTCAGCAGTGATTTCCTTCATCACGACAGCCTAAATGCCAGAGACATCTTATCCTCAGACACAGCTGAGTCATAGCCTATTGTCAGTAGATGGTGACATGATATTGCTACTCTCGTACCTATCACTTGTCTTGAACTGATTTTGTTTAAGCGAGAAAACCTACGTCCCCCATACAATGACGTAAAACATTAACTTTTAGTAGCAATTAATAGTGACCTCCATCAACTTGTCCGATGTCCAGCGCCAAGCAAATTTTTTACCTTGGATTCTAAACAGTGAACACGATGCTCTAGTTCATACAAAAGATACGGAGTATCAAAAGGAACCAAACCATTAAATTTTTGCTACAAACGAATCATTAAACGCAGGCGAGCGACATTTTCCTAGATTGATTTCACATGTTTGAAGTAAAACTGTTAAAAGTAGAACGCATAAAACACCTATCATTACCACAACCATATTTGCTATGGCACTGGAGCAGATGCAAATACCATCCACACCGTTAGCAAACCACTCGAGTCATCTGCCAGGTCCTTATCATGTATCTCACATATTGCTCATCGGCAGTTATGTCTCCGTTTCCAGAGAACTCGCCGGCTTAAAAACACCAGCAGTTTCTGCTAACCCAGTGTGACTCACTGGATTACACACCATTTCGTTACAGCACCCATTCACACGGCCCCAATCACGCTACCCTCCCCTGATGCACCTCGGTCGCCTTCACCAACACAAAGGTGGCGGAGGGCGCAGTGTCCAGCACGTGCGGGACGGCCAGGCTGGGCCGCGCCCCGGCACTCTCCAGAGTCTGGGTGGCCCTGAGCGTCACTGGGGCGACTTCGACATCGTTCATGGCCGACATCAGGTAGAACTGCAGCGGGTCCTCGGGCGCCAGTTGGCGTATCTCCGAGAGCGGCGGACTGCGCTCGACGCCACTGGGGAGCGCCGCACGCCGTCTGCCGGCGTGGCGGCGCACGCGGCCACCCGGGGAGCCGTCCGGAGCCTCCGACGCCTGGCGCAGCAGCTCCTCCAGCTGCGGCGGCTGCGACGCCGGTGCGAACACCGGCTGCCGGGTGGGCCGGATCAGCGGCAGCTGCGGCTGCTGGAACAGCGGCTGCTGCGCCGGCTGCGCGAACAGCTGCTGCAGGAGCAGCTGCTGCGGAGTCAGGCCGAACCCTGCGTTGCCGAACCCACCGCCGCCGCCGCCGCCGCCGCCGCCGAACGCGGCTGCCGGCGCCACCGTCTGTCCGGGGATGGGCTCAGAGGAGGTGAGCACCTCCGTGGCCGTGATGACATTGACGTCCTTGTTGATGATGACCGTGTGCGTCTTGCGGCCTTGGAAGAAGATGGGGACGGTGGTGAGCGCCGACTCCGTCAGCGTGGTCACGTAGGTGGTGGTGTGTGAGAAGGTCCGGAAGGCTTGCTGCGGCTTGGGAGTTGGCACGTTGATGGGCGGAGTGCCGAAGTTGGGCTGGCCGGGCTGCTGTCCTCCGAGCAGCTGGCGCAGCAGCAGCATCAGTGCATTGTTGTTCTGGCCAGGCCGCTGCTGCAGCGGCGAGGCGGGCACAGTGCTCACCTCCGCGGCGACAGTGAACGCCGGCTGGATGTATGACGAAACAGTGGAGCTCAGACGGCCCCGGACGCGCGTCGTCTTGTACACGCCCGTCTTGATTTCAGTCGGAGTCAGGTACAGGGTTGAGACCTCGGTCAGACCGCCGGCCCCTACGGCCGTCGAGAAGCCGACGTGAGTGCGGAGCTCGCCGGCGACGTCTGTGACAGAGTACTGATCCGGTTCCAACGTTGCTGTCACCGTTGTCGCCGAGAGCACTTCTTTGTAGGTCGTTCGGCCGTTTTCCACGAGAGGTATCGAGGTGGTGATGGGGTCATCAGAAATGACGATGATATGGCCTTCGGGCAGCACGGGTGTCGGATCAATCTTTGGCTCGAATGGAGATGGAGTGCTATCGCGACTGCTTCCGCGACTTGCGAACAGGCTCGTTCGGCGGTTGGTGGTAGGACGACGTGAGCTGGACAGTCTGCTGGAGCCTCGCGACGGACTCGTGATGCGGGACGGAGTGCGAGACGGCAGTGTCACAGAAGGCTGCCGGCGCGACGGCGTGCGACGACTGGAGCTGGGGCCACTATTGCTGCTGCTGCTTGTGCTACTGCTGCTACCGCTGGTACCGAAACGGGCTTGCTGCAGTCTCTGACGCAGGCTGACTTTGCCGCTGCTACTGCTGCTACTCCTATCACTACTGCTGCTACTTGCTGTCGGCGCCTCTGGGCGAACAGGACGCCGAGAGCGTGCGCCAGGAATGGCACGGCGCGTGCTGCTGGACGACCTGCTCGAGCCACGGGACCGATTCGGGGTCAGTGTGAACCGCTCCTTCTCCTCGGTCTCGCTTGGCGTGGGGCTGACGTTCCGGGCGCGTGGCACCGATTCCTCCTGCGTGCGGCGCCTCAGTGGACGCTGAGATCTCCTCCGAGATCTCAGAGGGTCCACAGCAGGTTCAGCAGGCTCTTCTTCTGCTGCCGACTGCTCCTTGGAGAGGATATCTCTCAATGAGCTTCTCCTGCTACTTTTTCTGGCACCGAATGCCTGACGTTTACTTCTTCTGTGAACGGCATCATTTTCGTAGTCTTCATAGGGAATGTCACGTTTGAAAATTGTTCTGCGTCGTAAGAATGGCAGCCTCCTTATCCCCGAGCGAGAGCGACTACGTGCACGTGCGAAGGGGATACCCGAAGATTCTGGGGATTCCGTGGTGGGTTCAGTAGTGGTGGTTACGGGTTTTGGAGTGGTAGACGTAGTAGTGGTAGTAGCGGCTTCAGTGGTTGTGGCTTCTGTTGGCTCCTGACCAAAGGTGTTAGCAGCTAGGAAGCGACTGGCCAAACCTCTAGGACGGTCTGAGCCTCCACGTCTCCTCAATGGGAGCGCGTTTCTCGTTCCACCAGTCCTGCGGGATTCTCTTCCAAATGCTAGCAGTCGCTGACTGCGGGGTTCGGGCGCCGGAGTCTCTGTTGTGGCAGGATCTGTCACGGCAAAGAGCTCTGGCTCCTCCGTGGGATCAATAGGCTGCTCATCGTGGATTTCATTTGCTTCTGTCGCTCTTGAATCAAGCAAGTCAAACGTAGGCAGAGGTGTAGCTTGGCTCTCCTCGCGCTCAATGTTTTCGTGTTTAATCAATGCCCTGAGGCCAGGTCTCTTTGGGCGTCGCCCCGTCGCTGCTCGGAAGCTGCGGCGAGTCTTAACGATAACTCTGCGTCTTGTTTGAGTTGGCTGGATGCTTTCCAACGACTCTGAGGTGGAAATAGGCTGACTGGGTGTCAGTGGCGTTGCTACCAAAGCAGGTGCGGATGTCACGGGTAGCTGAATTGTTTGCGATTTGGTTGCAGAGACCGATGATTCAAAACGATTCAGTGACGTTTCGGAACTCTGCAGATCAGACGATCCGTGCGAACTGACACTAAGTCCACGCTTCTGGGCCAGCAGTGCCAACAGACCAGCCGCCTTTCTTTCCCCGCCGGATCTGCGGAACTGTCTGAACGCACGGCTGGTAGAGGTCAGAGCTCGTGAAGACTTTTGAATGCTCGAAGACACGAGAGCAAGGGCAGACGACACTGCATTTGAGGGTGAAGTCAGAATCGTGGTTCGGTCGGCGGACAGCGGGGTCGTGCTAGACCTGGGTCCAGAGCGAATAGCCGCTGGTAGTCTGAACAAACGACTGCTTCTGCTCGAGCTCGTTTCAGCGACACTGGATGTGGACACAGGAGCAGGTGCAATCCTCGGCAGAGCGGTGGGTCTTGGACGAGGCGCCTCACTGCTAGAGACAAGGATGTCCTTCAGCTGAACTGTGGTCTCTGGTGCTAGTTGAAGAACGCTGGTAGTGCTCTGAACTAGCTGAAGGTAGCGACCGTTAACCACTGTACCAAAATATCCGGTCGAATGAACTGTAGTAATGCCGTCGTTAACGACTGAAGACGTCCTCGAAGATATGAGCCCAGTTCTGTGGGCGGCAGCCACTTGTGCCGGCACGCTGGTCACCTGGGTAGCAACGTCTTCCGATGTAGCAGGAGTATTTGCCACGTCAGCAACGTTCAAGGAGGCCTGCGGTGTGGCGCTCACAGATTCTGACTTCAGCGCGACAGAGGCAGTCAGCTGCGGGGAATCGTTCGCAGTTGACGTAACCACATTGCTGCTCACCACCAGGCGGCTCTTGATGATGCTGCTGGCTCCTACCAAGGATGTGGTGAGGTACGTGTACGTGGTGAAGAACGTCTTTGTGATGACCTTGGGCGGGGTTGTGGTTTCTGTGGCCACATTTGGAGACAACAGCAGCAGTTTCGTCACTTGCTCGGTCGAAACTACCTCCCTGCCGTCCACAGTAGCAGTGCTGCTGACCAGTTTGGTGGTCTCGGTTGTGACAGCTCCCGCCGGCAGCTGTTCCGTGGCAACACTGCTCACTGTGCTCAAACTGCTACGCACAGCGCTCGTGCCGTCCTTCACAACAGTGGTGAAGTACGTGTACGTGGTGTAGTAGGTTTTCAGCACCGACTTCACTTCATCGGCGTCAGCATGTGAGGAGAAGAGCGCCGGCGTTGTGGTCGGGGAGATACTGCCAACCAGAGCGCGACCCTGCTTCAGTACTTCGGCGGTCTCGTCACTAACGATTATCTGCGCCGTGGAATCGCTGCCGACGGCTCGGCCCAAGCTGTTGCTGACTGAAGCAGTCGCCACTGCCGGCTCTTGGGCGAGAGTCTGCTGTCCAGGTGTCTTTGAGGAAGCCTGAGTGCTCAAAATGGACTCCGCCGGATGAACAGCAGTGGTACTGATGTCACCGTGGTAGATGCTGGACGCACTCCGTGCCACCTTGGCGTAGCGACCCTTGATGTAGGTGCCGTAGAAGAGGGTGGTGAAGACGGTGGTGATGTCGCTCTGCACCAGGGTCCCACCAATGGATGTCACCAGACCAGTGGGATACAGCTCATTAGTGTTGAACTCTCGAGTGGTGGCGGTGGAGTGATCACTGGAGGACGACCCGCTCGGTGAAGCGCTGATTACTGACGCTCCTGCAGAACTGCTCTCCTTGCTGGTCGCCTTCGGGACGAACACGGCGGCGCTGCGTTCGAGCGGCGCCGCGGTCTTGGTTTTGGCCACCCGGCCACCCGGAACAAACACTGGAGCCTGGCTCCTGACGAGGCTCTTCCCGGTCCGTGTAGGCGCCACAATGTGATTTCCGCTGTCCGTGCGAGGCATGAAGACTACGACGGTGCCGCCGATGGTGGTGACGAAGTTGGCGAAGCCGACGTAGGTCACGGTGGTGAGCTTGTTGTCGCTGCCGTCCAGGTCCTCCATCAGGTCCAGGGCCCGGTCCTCACTGAGCGGAGTCGACTGCGCGGCTTCCACTAATAGATAGAGAGAAGAGAAGGGGAGATAGTGGGGCGATAAGAACAAACACAATAGATAGATCAGCACAGAAGAACGATCAATTATTGACATCGAATTTGAGACAAAACAAACGAGAATCATTGACTGAAGGTTAGAGCATGCAAAGAAAAGAACAAACAAAAGACAGACAACAAACATGCATGCAGATAAGTGGTGAAAAGGGTCTCGTCATTGGTGAAATGAAAATGCCACCAAAGTCCGATAGTTGTCTTCGGTTCACAGCAGTCGTCCGCAGAAAAAAGTCATCGGATGAATCTGCCTTTCCGTCCGGGCGCTCGTCCCGCGTCAAGTCGTTTCTGCAGGAAGAGATCGTCGCAGTTCTCTTCGTCCGGCTTGTGTTTCCAGTATGGCGAACAGCAGTCATGTCGTTTCTTCAATTTATCCACAGCTATATGTGCGTCACTCGCCGACGATGATTTATCATTCATATCTCAAGTCAACTACATAGTATTGTCCGTACAAATCGTCTTTTATACATCTTTTAGCCCAATTTAGGCGGCAGTGCACACATTACAGCAATAGTGCAGGTGATTCCTACAGTACGGCATAGCCCGTCCATGGCGAACTGTCGAAATCGGTTGCACTATTACTGAACTGTGTGCACTATGTCTATATTTGGCCATAAGAAGTGTCTATGTCACAAGTTATTGAAACAGGAGAAGATCTAGTGAGGAGAAGAGTGCATGCAAAACTACAACAGCGTACACACTTATACGATATGCGCATTTAAATCAATCACAACAATGGAAATATTGTGAGGTAGAAATTCGATAGAAACAAACGCCTTACACCAGCCAGCAGCCTTCCACAGGAATGGCAGGACAGCGGACAGCTGTCAAAAGAGGTGTTTACCTACGTCCTACTGTGTTTGGAGGTTAAATCGCCCAACATTTTGTTAACATTTTGGAAGTAACAAGTGTCTCTTCTCAGTTCTCACTTGATCCCCTCTGTTTGGTTTGTTGTCTCGGGATATTGTGTCACGTCATCTTAAGGCCTTGAAATGTCGTAAATGTGTCATTTACACAAACGTCTTTCCATCAATGAAAGGGGCTGATTGAAAGAGACTTCAGTCACCTTTTCTCAGACACCCTTGACACCCTGAGTCATTCTTTAGAAGCGTCAGGAAGAAGGAATCACTAACAAGGATATTGTCAAGATCTTTTCAGTGTCGAGGCGGTCGGTGTCAATGGCGATGCCGTGTGATAGTCAGTCTGTTCAGGTCGTGAAGGCCGTGTCTGCCAGCCGTGTGATAGTCAGTCTGTTCAGGTCGTGATGGCCGTGTCTGACAGCGCTGGAGCAGCATTGGACAAAGAAGTCCCGCCGCTGGAGCTTACCTGCACTCTGAGACGCCAGCTGCCCATGGCCTCGGTCTGTAAAGAAGGATGCGGGAGTCAGCGATCAAGAACACAGAACCGTACATGTTTGTGCGATATTTTATGCTGCTTCGTCGGCTCGATGTTGAAGTGATTCACATTTGATTATGTAAAGATGGTGGAACTATACACATAAACATCCTTGAAGAGGTTCACCAGTGTTCCCACGGCCTCGTGCTGTAGTTGCATCCACAACAATCATTTCTGGCGCACCATAGTCACCCATCTCCTCCCTGCCGAGTTGCCTAACTCATTGGGCGTGGCTCTGCCCTGACAGTGTGGGCGGCTGAGTCTGAACTATGTGCGGCAACTCGGCCTGCGGACGGCGCTCGTTGGGCCGACACGGTGCCGTTTTTACTGGCGCGCTGTGAGAACAGCCGCACCATTAGTGGGCGACCTTTGTGGGGGCTTTCCGGGCGGGCCGAGCGGCACCGGTTCACCCGGACGTCCGCCGGCACCGCCGCCTTCCGGCCCAGCGGGAGAGGCCGCCGCCCGGGCAGGGAGGCCCTCAGAGAGGCCCCCAGGGAGGCCCTCAGAGAGGTCCTCAGGGAGGCCCGCAGAGAGGTCCTCAGGGAGGCCCGCAGGGAAGCCCTCTGAGGCCCGCAGGGAGGCCCTCAGGGAAATCTAGGGAGACTCAGAAAAATTCTTAGGGAAGTCCTCACAGAGATCCTTGAAGAGGTCCTCAGCGAACTCGCAGCACACGGAATCTCCAGGAAACCTTGAGCTCACGGAAAAACTCAGGAAGGCTGACGAAGATTCTCGTAAACCTGGCCTTCCCGCGAGATTGCTGGTTAGGGTGCAATATGCACTGCTGCGACTGCTGGCAGTGTCCCTGGTTTTGTAAGCGGTTTACAGCTATCGGTTACCAGCTCCAGGACTACCGGCTATGGCTATACGGAAGCTGGTTGCAAGGCAGCCCGCCAGGCATGACCAACAGCCGCCTGGCAGCCAGGCATAACACCGGAAGGAATGACAGTGCAAACTATGCCACAGTGGAGTGGTAATTTATGAAGGCTGCGTGACACATTGAGGCACAGCAATTGAGATGTTGGATAATTGTGGGTCTTTTGCTACTGGGTCAAGAGCATTGCATAGCATTCCTCGGAAGTAGCAGCCCATACATTCCACCCCACATCCGCCTCCGTGTTGAAACGGTCAGGTTATCTAGCGGTCTGCCCAAACACAAACTGTTCCATTGTCTACATAGTCCTCATCACGGACAAGGCTCGGTGTTTTGTCCAGAACACCGTGCCGTTGCGTGGGCGGGATCGTGCGGACCGGGCTCACGCCGTGACCGGCTCATAGACACCTGATGACACTGGGGAACAGAGCCTCACGAGCGGCCGTGACCCGTGACCACCCCGCTGGCAGGTCACAGTGACCGAGCGGTGACCCAGGGCTGACCGGCGCGCCGAAACGGAGCGTGTCGGCGCTAATGACCGCCGCGGGTGTATACCACGGGAGGGTGACGGGCAGCACCGCAGAGCAGTGGGTGGTGCAGGCGGGTGACGGGCAATATGAGACAGGAGTGGCCAGTGGGTGCCGGTGGGTGATACGGGAGGATGACGGGCGGTACGAGAGAGCAGCAGGTGACACGGGAGGGTGACCAGCACCACTGAAAAATAGTGGGTGACGGTGGGCGACACTGGCTCACGGTAAACGGACCACCAGTGGAGCCAGAGGGCGGCTATGGTGCTCGTTTCGGGACGTCATTGTCTGCCGTCTGCCGTTTGCCGATCTACATATTGGATCATTTGGCATCAAAACAGCGTTTATCTTAAAGACGAATATCCATACAGAATAAATAGCACTACCAAGATATAAATTTCATGAAAAACGGCACAGCTACGAATACAACAATTATGTATAGCCTTTCTCGTAAACAGTTGACCTCATGAAAACGAACCAAACTATTTAGAAGGCTTTGCCTCACCGCCCTTGGACGTATTCCCGGGCGGCGTTGCGTTGCGCCGCACGGCGGCCTGTGAGGGCGGTGTACCAATCTTCCCGAAAGGGTCCGTCGTCCGACCTTGGGCGATCTCCCAGACAATGGTGTGACCGGGCGGCGCCGGGTCGGCCCGGACTGACCGCGCTGACGGCCGGGCGGGGGCGGGGGCGGGTTTCAGAGCCGCGCGTGGCAGCCGCCGCGGCCCGACCGGCCGCCGCGCCGAGCGATGGGGCAACACCGCCCGGCCGGTCCTGGGGTGTGGTCGCCCGAGCGTGTCCTTGTGCCTCGCTCCCGCCGCAGCGCCGCCGCCACCGCGGTCAGTGATGGGGAAATGACGCGTTGCGCATTGCAGGTGCAGAATACATATCCGTGTTGCAATGCTAGGGGGCATGGGATTAGCCGTTTAATGGTTAGCCTGGGCAAAAACACGAAACAAGTCAAGCTGCAGGTAGTACAGGGACCCGCAGTTGCTACTGTACAGCGACCCTGAGTAAATTGTCCCAGCACCCTCACAGGGAACAACGATAAGCTGTCAGAGGGTACTCACAGGAAACCTCAGCTGCTCTTGTACAGGGACCAGCAGTCGATATCAATGTTATCGGTTGTTACTGGACAGGACAGACGGTTAGACTTGGGGTTCGTGTACAGTAGCAACTGCGGGTCCCCGTACATTGTTATTGCGGTTAAAATGTCCAAGGAATGTTCCACTGAAATAGCTGAGAATAAATGTCACAGCAGTACACATACAATTTCTTACATTTTCTAACGGTTTAGACATTTCGCCGTTATTTCTCTGTCTTTGAGACATGTCGCTTTTAACGCAGCGAATACCAATGTGTCATTTACGTGTAGATAAGGCTTTCGTTTTATTTTTCAACTTCAAGGCAAGCAGCCAATTGCACCACTTAATTTCTCTTCAGCCATTGTCGCAATTGACGTGACCAGTTCCGTTCAATCGAAAACTTTCCTCTCGCACTTCCGCAATGACCTGCGTTGAAACGGAACTTGTCGCACGAGTCCAGTGTTCGCCCTGCTCGACTTTTGTCACTCACACTTTCACCGATCCTGCCCCCTGCGCGAGATGTTGCAACGGTGATCGAGTCACCTTGACAGCCGTGCACCCCATTTGATATTATCGAACACACCATTCGATATTATCGCATCCATTCCATCCTTGCGATGGAGTTCGTGGGGCCTTGGGTCACTGACACGAGTCGCGCCGTCACGCGCAAGGTGAAGATGAATAGGCGTGGGCTGCGGCTCCCAAACTGTCGGAGGAAAAGCGTGCCGCTCGTGTCCAACTCTGACCCGATCGAAGCCACAGCTAAATGGGTTAATTAGGTCAGCTGTCGGTGTGATGAAGAGATCGTGCTGTGATGAAATGTCCAAATATAGACGGCGGTGAGGCTTGCAGATCGGGCGCGAGTTCGCCAAATTATGGTCACATGCCATGGAATTCCAACGGTTCGTGCCTAGGTAAGAAGTCAATCGAGGCTACATGAAGTATACCTGTCATCACGCACCCACAGCTCAATGCAGCCGATTGCACCCGTCTCTGTGGTGATGATCACTGAGATCAAAGTCGGGACAAAGTGGGAAGACTCGCAACAGAAAGTCACTCCGTTTTGTCTCTAGCGAACAGACCTCTTCTCGACTGGCACAAAGTTCAAGAATGCTCATTGTTCACTCATCTGGCCAGCGTCAGCCTGTTACACCTGGACTCGTGACTGGGTGCTCTCAAAGCCCTGTTCGCAGATCAAACCGCTATATAAAGACAGACAAAAAAAGACTGTCTTCCGCTCAGCTCCTGATTGATTTTGCAGTCTCACGAAGTATCGCGGATCTGCTGAGAAGTCTGTCCACCGTGGGACAGTGTACGGATGACCGGACCTTCGGCTGACTCAGCCGGAGAAAGTAGCGAGTTTTGTGACGCGCGCGGCCGTCTCGATCACCCGGTGCCGGCCGCGGCCTGGTACAGGGACCCGCAGTTGCTACTGTACACATATATTACCAATTTAGAATTGCGCTGTTATTTGTTAAGTGCTGGCCATTGGAGAAAGGAAATGTAGTGCAAAGTATGGAGGAATAACACATGTTTGCTCCTAGGACGTATGTTTTGTATAAATCCTCTTACCACACCAGATATTCTTCCAAAACTACAATCGTGCTATTTTTCCGCGCCGGCTGCCTCCCCAGAGCCCGTCCTTGGTATCGCCTATAGCTTCTGTTCCCGCTACGTGAATGAAAGTCACGTGACTACTACAGGTTTGCGCTCAGTACTAACACACCTAGCCCGAGGGCCGGTCCGTAGCGGAGAGGGGTAGAACGCCAGAGCTCCAGCGCAGTGGAGGCGGTGGTGGCCCACATCATAAAGAGGCAACCGTAAGCAGAACTACAATTGCCGCAGTTTAAGATTACGATCAAGTTTTCTTTAGATGTATTGATTGACAAGTAAGTGCAATGCTTATCCGATATAATAAAACGGTGTCCAAGGCCTTGGAAGAACTATAAAACATATTCAGCAACGTATAAATTTCTGATACAGGCCATGACCTTTCACCTTGCCTCTGGCGAGGACCGCTCAGGAAGCCACATACCGAACGAATCGAGGCCTCGCAGCGCGGCGGCAGAGGAGGCGGATAAACCATCGTCAGATCTTTCGGTTATTTATGTTTCCAGAAGAAGGAGGGGGGGGGGGGGTGGAGGGTGAGGGCTGTTTTCAACGCACTCACCAATCCTTTCCTTATTAAGTTATAGCTTACCGAAAAATGCAATACAATGGTGGCCGTCACGAGATGTAGCGAAGAGTGCCTCAGCCACACCGGTTTTGAGTAAACTTTAAGCATTGGAACTCAGGCCAGTGATCCTGAAGCATTATTTTATTTTTGTCGTGCATAAGCTGGGATGACGTGGTTCAAGTTAATTGCGAAGAAACGGTTTTAGTTTCAGAATATTTATGAGGCTAGTCGCGCCAAATAGTATACGTTTGTTGCAAAATGTCAAATAGAATGTTGACGTGCTATCCAGATGATGGAATTTATTTGACACA